TATATATATAATTTCTTACAGGTACTGTCTTATTGCAACCCAGGTCCCTACCAGCTCTTTAAATAGCTCCCTGCTGGCTTTTGCCACAGCTCTGCCATCTTTTGCCAGAGCTGCACACCAGGGTGCACCTGCTTACTTTCACCTCTGCCCAGCACAGGTCTCTACAACACCCATTGCTGAGAACGCAGCCAGTACTCCTGTACCCTTCCCTACAGCAAGCCCCACTCAGAGGAGCTAGGACTGGAATAATTAGTATCAAGGATGTCTGGGGGCAGGCACAGGGCTGCATTTGACAGCCTACCTGGCAGCATGGGGAGGGTGAAGGCAAAGATGTTGCTTTTGTTCTCTGTTCCATATCTCTCCTCTAGCTTGCCATGCAGGGCGTGGAACTGACGGTAACGGCGGAAGATCAAGTATCTGCCACTTCCTTTTGTCTTCACCTCAATGACAAACACCTGAAGGAGAACAGGGAGTGAGGATCACACAGATATATAAAATTGCAAGTGAGGCACAATGCGGATGCATATAGCCAGCTGTCCAGTGTCTGAGCTGCTTTCTTAGGAGACTGGAGTAGAAAGTAAGCCTTCTGTTAAAAACCTGGCACACTTTTGGTTGCCATAAAATAATAACCCCATTGGTCTGATTTTGCCTTTGTCACCAAGTTTCCCATGGATCAAGTCTCTGTGGTTGTTTCCTGCCATGACCATCAAGTGAACAGCAAACCTGGGAGGATTTGAAAGTCTCAGAGGGGTAGCCATGTTAGCCTGTAACTTTAGAAACAACAAGAAGTCCTGTGGCATCTTAGGGTGTGTCTAAACTACGTCTCTCTATTGGCAGAGAGATGTAAATTAGACATAAATTACGTCTTTCTATTGGCAGAGAGATGTAAATTAGACATGTCAAAATTGCTAATGAAGTGGGGATTTAAATATCCTGTGCCTCATTAGCATAAACATGGCCACAGCTTTTTTTCGGCTCAGAGCTTTGCCAAGAAAAAGCAGCAGTCTAGAGGCTGATCTTTTGAAAAATATAGCCTTTTTCGAAAGATCATGTAAACCTCATTGCAGGAGGAGTAACAGTTAATTCGAGGGAAGGGTTTTGGATCGGACTACCGCGTCTACACGCGGCAAGTTAAATCAAGCGATCGGCATTTCAAAACGGCGACCAGCTGCGAATATGCTAATAAAGCGCGGGATATTTAAATCCCGCACTTCATTAGCAACTTCGGTATGCTTCATTTGCCTCCCTAGTCCAAACTAGGGGGCAAGTGTAGACATACCTTTAGAGACTAACATATATAATCATGATCTGAAGAAAAAGCTTCAGGAGATAGCCAAGTTAGTCTGTAACTGGAAAAACTTAAAAAACAACGAAAAGTCTAACAGCACCTTAACGACTAACAAAACATGTAGATGGTATCATGAGTTTTCATGGGCACAACCTACTTCTTCAGTTTTGCCCACAAAAGCTCATGATATATATGTTGTTGTAAGTTTCTAAAGTGCCACAGGACTACTTATTGTTTCTGGGAGGCATTTGATAATGCTAACGATAATACTTAACTCTCATAGAACCCCTTTTCATCGTATGAGGATTTGAGGCATTTGATAATGCTAACAATAATACTTTACTCTCATAGAACCCCTTTTCATCGTATTGCCATTTGACACAGGGGGACATTAATGCCCCAAGAGGTTAAAGCCAAGATCTTCAAGCTTGGGTGCCTTGAACATCTTATATCCACATTTAGGCCCCTAATTTAGGGTCCTGCTGTTCAGAGGTGCTAAGCACCCATAATGTTTGCTGATTTCAACACACATTCTGGCCTAGAGGGACCTGTCAGTGGTCACCCAGCAAGTCAGCTGCAAAGCAGGAACAGTAGCCAGACCTCTTGATTCCAGGTTCCCTGCTCTAACTACCAAACCATACTCTGGCCCATTTCCCAAACAGATTGGTTGGCTGTGATTAATGGATGGCCTGACCCCCAAGCACTGAATCCTGTGCCAAGTGTCACCCAGATACTCCAAGGAGAGTTAAGCTACAGCAGCCAGAACATTTTACAGCCGAGTCTGAACCCTACAGCCCCCTGGGGGAAACTGGTGTCTTAAGACCTTTGGTGAGAAGAGTCTACCCAGAAGAGGGCACAATGAGCAGGCTCCATCCAGAACTCACTCTTTACTCATCTCATGCCCCTCTTTTCTCCTTCCCTCCTGTTCTCTTCCTTGAAGCTCCATTGATTCACTCTCCAGATCTGACATCCTCTTCTGCGGAGGAGGGAGCTTCCTAATTTGCACGTGCCAAGAGGGGCTTTTCCCTTTCAGACTCTCAATCCCCATCGCATCTCCTAAACAAGGCTATGGAAAGACTTAAGAAACAGGCAGCACCAAAAAGCCCATCACTGTCAGGCCACGCCCACCAGTACTAGGCTTGTTGGGAGACACCTGTGACAGCCACCTCTCCACTCCAGAGGAAGGCAGGTTCCACATAGCAACGCAGAGGCTGTGTCTAGACTACATGCCTCTGTCGTCAGAGGCATGTAGATTAGACACATAGGCAAAGGCAAATGAAGCCGCGATTTAAATGATCGCGGCTTCATTTGCATTTACATAGCTGCCGCGCTGAGCCGACAAACAGCTGATCAGCTGTTTGTCCGCTCAGCGCGCTAGTCTGGACGCTCCCCTGCCGACATCAAAGCCCTTTGACGGCAGCCCCGTTATTCCTCGTGGGATGAGGTTTACCAAACAGCAGCCATGTAAATTTAAATGAAGCCGCGATCATTTAAATCGCGGCTTCATTTGCCTTTGCCAAAACAACAAATCTACATGGCTCCGTTGACGGAGCAATGTAGTTTAGACGTACCCAGAGACCAGAAAGGGCTGGAGAGGCAGCAGGACCATGCCTACCAGCATCAGGCCAGGCAGGTTGCATCCTATTTCCCAGCCCAATGCTGGGCCAGTCACACCTGAGAGCACCTCGCGGATGCCCCTCTCTTACATAGTAACTGGAGAAGCCGCTCTTCTCTTGGACATCGGCAATGTTAGCGGAGATGGGCACGTCGTTTGGAAGCTGGTCAAAGTCACTGAAAGGCAAGAAAGAAAAAAAAAAGACTTAGGTTATTGCAGATGGGGTTGGGCTTTGGTACACACAAGCTCACAACTCCATTAAGCTCTGTGTTCCAGGTAAGCTCTGCAACCCCATGGCTGATCCTACCTCCCTCGCAGGCAGTAAAGCCAGGGAGGAGAAGCAGCATCTTGCTGCAGGCACCAGAGGCAAGAAGAAGGCAACTCATGACTCGATTTCTATGTTTCTGGTTGTCTGGGGTCCCCCACAAACTACAAGGCTGATTCTAAGACCAGGGGTGAAGAACCTTTTTTGGTTCAGGGGCCACTGACCCACAGAAAAATCAGCCAGTGGCTGCACACGCGTGAGAAGTGAAGAAAAAAATCACAAACCCTCACTGACATGGGCCCTAACCAAGAAGCAAATAGACACTCCCCACATTCCCCTCACACACCAGAGCCTACAGGGGCCCCAGCTAGTAGATTTTGTGCGCTCCAGCCCCGCTGTGGGATGGCGAGGGGCTGGAGTGCTAGTGTAGCCTCCCCATGTGGGATGGCGAAGGGCTGGAGTGCTAGTGTAGCCTCCCCAATGCTGGAGGGTGGTCCTGAGCCTTGTGGGCTGGATCCAAGCAAGCCAGGGGCTGCATCCAGCCCCTGGGCCTAAGTTTCCCCACCCTTAGTATAGAACTCTGAAGTCTGATTTTTAGGAGCACTGAATATATATACAGTAACACCAACTGACATCAGTGTGAGCTGTGGGTACACCGGGAGTCTTCAAATCATCCTGAGTAAAGGAGGTGGGAGCAGGGACTCTGATCCTTCTGCTAAGTCCACTGGGATAGTATATAAGCCAAGAAAGTTCCCAACAATAGAAGAACCATTCCCCTGCTTACATTAGGATAATACCTATAGACCAGCCTGAGGCAAGCATGGGTGTCTATCTCACTTTTGTCTGTATACACAATAAATAGCAATAGGCTCACAGAGCTGACCAGATCCTTTTCACTTTCTTTTCAGACCCTTCTCTGCCCGACCCTTTTGACCTAAACAGAGATGCACAAAGTCACTTTGCCTCACCTGTGAGGGCTCGCTCTGCATTAATCCTCAAGGAAAAGTGCTGGAGGAGGA